TAAATGATATTAACCTTTACTGATTAATACGAGTTTCTGTATGTCTAGAAATATCCGGCGTTTCACATGTTAATAAGAAGCTTCGGGTGCTTTGAATAATCTTTGGAACCTCAGCGGAGACAACACACACAGTGGTACAAAACTAAGATTTACGGTTCATATTTCACTGGAGTCTTCATTTTTCGCTCAATTTGATTAAATTTTTTTAGTGAAAATCATAAAATTTGGAAGAGACCAGTTGATCCCGATTTTTGAATTTCCATTTCGTATAAAATTTTTTAGTGCAGAAAAGACAGCAATTTTTAGGATAATCGATTATCCTGTTCCAGTTAATAAATGTTACATAAGAATTAGTTGAAAACACATGTAGAGTTCCCCCAAAACGAAAAAAAAAAATCCAAACAAAATTTTAAATATTTTAAAAATAACACGATTCAACAAAATTTTGATTTTGTCGTCTTTTATCCCAAAAAAAATCTTTCTAACACGTCCAGCTTTTGGGAAAAAAAAACTATTGAATTCGACACTTCAAATGACAAAAATTGCAAATTTCAAAAAATATTTAAAAATATAATTTGGACGCAATTTTTCCGAAGAGACAATATTAATGAAAATCCAATTCGTCAGTTGGATGGTGAAAAATTAAAAAAAAAATGTTGAAAAAAAACACTAGCGAAGAACATGGCGAATGGTTCCACCAGGACCTAACCACTATGGAGAAGTGTTATGATGGGAAATCAAACCTCCACATGCTTGCTGACTTGAAAAGCGATGATAGTGCTATCAAAAAAAATTAAAAAAAAATTAGGCTTTCAGAACGCGGAAAGTGTTAAAAGGCTGGCTAATTATAAATCTATGATATTGATGTTTTAATGTTGATTTTTTCCTGAAATCACTTTGTTTTTAAAATAATTTTATAGATTTGGATTTTCGTGTTTTTAGGAAACATGTAATTTTCACCAAAGTTAAAATTTTTTTTTAGTTGCAAGAAAATTGTTGGGTATGCAGTTATATAGTATAATAAAATGCAAGTATAATAATAATATCAGCTGTACAACATGCAGATGTGCTCGGAAAGCTAGCGAAAAAAAAAATTATTAAATAATTTAAATAGGTTGGAAAATATCCACTTTCTCTCGCTCTCTCTCTCTTTCATCGAAAACATCAAATAATAATTGTACCGTTTTAAAAGGAATGCAGCTCCTTTGCCACATAGAAGCACTCAAATTTGTTCAACTACAGCTCAAATGATATTTTATCGCAATTTCAAGGTACTCGTATTTCAATTACACCTCCCATCATTCCGGTTTTTAACATTTCCAAGACATTTTTTTTTTTTTTTGTACATAATTTTTTTCTTATTACACAAATTTCGCGTCTGACAGCTTTGCCAAATTGGCAAATATTTTTCTAATTTTCCAAAGGCACTTTCGCGCTTCCTTTCTTACCTCCAGTACTTATGTACATGCAGAAAAAAATATATTTGTACATACATAGGAAAAAAGTGTGTACGTACCAACAGCAGTGGTATAGCCTCAACGTTTACATCTTTTCCTTAGCCGATTTTTTTTTTTTNTTNTGTATATTTATTGCGACTACATAGCAGACGCGCAGCTGTGTGTTGGCTGCAAAAGTAAATACTACCTAAAAATGTAGCAATTTTGTATGGTGTTTCATGATTGCTTTTGGCAAACGTTGAAGCCTTGCACTTGCACGCGCAGATGCCAACTAACAGTAAAATTGCAGTGAGGAAATATTGTAAAATGGTTAGAATAGATACAATATTTGTCCAATAGACGAGTGTGCGAGTGTAGGGATGCGCTAAATAGTAGCTAGCTACTATTTAATGATTTAAAAAGTGCTTTGGAAGTTAAAAAATCTGTAAGTATACTTTCGGCAACTTCTTTTCGCTTTACTTTCAGCAACTAGTTTCGATTAATTTACTTGCAAACAAGTTAACGAATAACCGCTTCACTTTTTATTCGCATATTTTCGGCGGCAACCCTATCGTGTGGCCGCGGAAATCCCAAATGATCTTGCATATATGTATCATCCTGCGCACTTACTGGCACTTTGTTTGCACTTTTAACTACCTGCTACGTTTGCCAAATTATCCTGCAGGAGTCGAGTTACTCAACGGTGTTGCCTCTTTTATTCGAGACGTCGGTTTTTTTTACTTTTTATTTGCTTTGCATTTTCTTCATTTTTTTTTTTGGGTATTCTACATAGCGCCCCGATAGCTTTTCAAGCATAAAAATACTTTAACCGCATCATTGATTTACGAGCCACAAACAAAGTTATATAAAATGCAAAGCAGCTACAAACATACCTACATATGTACATATATACTACGTGCATGAAAAAACTTCATAAACTTTGTTGGAAGATAAACATTTAAAGTGCTATTAACATAATTTTACAAAATAAAACGTGTTGAAATAAACCTTAAAAATTACTTCTTTTTTTTTTGGATGTTGGTTTTTCCGACAGGGCACCATGGGCCAGTATACCACCAAAAGTGGCTTAACACTTGCTACCCCGGTGATTTTTGGGGTCACTGATCACAAATCTAAGGTTAGATTTCAAAAATTCAAAATGGCGGATACACATAAAAACACCGCCTGTAGTTAGCCCACAAAAATTTAGTTCCTGAAGCCTACAACGGAGAGGTGACAGTACGATTTTACACTTCAATTTTACTATTTGGTGTTTTTTTTTCTTTATTTTTCAATTTTTTTTTTTCTCATTATAATTGGAGTGGTTCAAATTTTGTTTGGCGGAAAAAAAAAATGTCATCGTAGAAAGCCTGGCACCCCCCTTAGTTTTTTACTTTTGGTATTTGTAATATCTATACCAACTTTCAATTTTCTACTGAAACCAATACAGGTTGCTCAATGACCTTGAAATGTGCTACTGATGCCCTTTGAAACCGATAATAATATTGATGATTTTATAAAAAGCCTCTGTTGCCATGACAACTAATTTAATTTAAATTTGAAATATTCTTACGTTGCTTAACCAATTACTAGGTAAATATATGCACAATATACATACTTCCTTAGTAAAATATAAACATTTCGTGAGCATCCTCTAAATTTACGCTTAGAAACGTAAAGTTTGGAGCCATCACCTCTATCGGCAAGAGGAAAAATTTTGGAAGGTGCCCTAACCCTATCTCGGATTTCTCTTACCACTCTATTATATGTACATATTAAAGTGTTTGAATGCCCCTGACCGAAAAAATGTTTTTTAAATTTCAGTTTTAAGATGAAATATTTCATTTAAGTGTGGATGAATCGTCAGTGATGTTTTATTCTTCCTCATCATCTGACAGTACAACCACGTAGAACATGCTTAGAATTTCAGATCGTCCACTTTCCTCACTTTCTTTCTCATTGTCTTCCACAAATATTTCAGCTTCATTGGATTCACCTTCTGGTATACTTATCTAATTTCGCACTTTTTTTATTGTAGTCGAATTTTTAGACCCACACTTGATATTTTTATATTAAAGTGCCCACTGCTCTGTAAAAACATATTGTAGATTAGATTCTCTGTTATGTTTCCTGCTGTGTTTGACTAAGCTCAACTAGTTCTATCTAGATCTAGATCGGACCAGGTAGGAGAAACCAGGTAAGCCTAGGCTGAACTAGTAGATCCTTGTATAAATATTTACACGTCCGCGTATTTCAAAAGTCTTTCGACAATTGTCTTAGTCAATTCTGGCAACTATTTTGAAAGTTCTTTATTGTCTTTCGAAAGACTAATTGAAAGATCTGCTATCGAGGGGGTATTAGCGTTATGCCGTTCACCTTTTAGCAATACGTCTTTTAAAAATTAAATTATATTAGAAATATATATGTATATACAATTTTTCTTTTTAAAATAATAAAAACTAATTAATAAAAGAAAATTAAGTTAGAAAAACCAACCAATTAGAAAGACCATCTGTCTTTCATTTGTCATACGAAAGACTTTTTACTATCTTATCCAGAATTGCCCTGTTAGTTTTTGAAAGAGGTTGGCACCCACCTACGTACATATAATTAAGAAATAAAGCATTTCTTCTTAACCCCTCCTCCTATCTATGCCACTGATTTAGAGTGCTGACAACTACAAAGCTTAGTACATACTCATAAAGTAATTTCCTAATCAAATATGCCATCGTCTTAACCCTTACAAGCCTAATTTTTTTGGCTAAAAAATTTAATAGTAAAATACATACTTCTCCACAAAAATTACTAAGCTGATTTTAGGAGAGTCTTAGGATATCCAGATTTAAATATTTTACGAGGGAAAGCTACAGTTATAGCAAAAAATCTTTAACTTCTAGACACACAACTATTGCGAGAAAATGTTTCAAATATATATATATGTTTTAAGTAACTATATAATTTACACAAAATTTAGTTTTCTCGAGGTTGATGCCCTGATTTGAAAATATAGTTGTAATTTTTTTTTTTATTTAGATCAGCGCCAAGAACCAGGGGCTGGATTCTGTAACTGTGAGAAAATGCAGTTTGCAAAACTCAAAACCAAAAACTCAGCGTTGCGAGTTTTTCGGAAGAGAAGTGTACACAATTTTGACAGTTACAACTCATTCTGACATTTGCTGAATTACAAAATTAGAAAGTGCATACAGTTTTCAGTATACACTTGAAAACACACACAGTTATAGAATCCAGCTCCAGGGCTTTGTTTAGGCTTTTAGATCAAAAAAAATTTTGCATATGTATCGGGAAATACAAATAAAACTTCGTTTAACAATTATAAATTTCTGCCAGCTGATTCATAGCGAACCAGTAAGCTATTACGGGTTAACGTTTCGAGTAAGAGATTAAGTTGCTAATAATTATCAAATCAAACATTATCGCGCTTCATTTACAGCAGCAAAGAGAGGCATCAAAGAGATTGTAGAAGAGAGAAACCAACAAAGCTTATTCAAATGGTGTGATATGCAAATTTAAGCAGCTGACCAAAGCAACTAAACTTTTTGCGATTTTCGAAAGTTAGTATTGTGGGATTAGTCGCTCACTGATTGACATCGGAGTTGCGCTAAAACAAGTGCCCACTTTCAAGTTAAGATGCTTCAACGCTTGGTTAATATTTTTGTCTACGTTTTGCTTGGCATCACGCTGCAAGCAACTGTTGGTCTGGTAAACTATATACATATGTACATACATACTCATCATGGCAACAATAAACTTATAACTTATTTATCTGCCTAACTGCGCTAGTGCGCAAGTTATAAAGATAAGATTACCAAATACTTAAATAGTTTTTAATCGAAATTTGAATTTATCATTTTATAGACCTCAGACATCAATGATCCATACTTTGTTGCTGGAGTGGTGGAATTTCGTCCCGATTTTATCGGGCTAACGACAGCTCAGCTAATTGCCAATCATACAGCTGCATACAAAGAAATACTCGCATCACCTGAGGCGCTCGAAACGGACATTGTTGTCTTTCCCGAGGGCACACTGAACAATGATTTCCAGCCCACCTATGTGCCAGCGGCAGAAGACGCTGTAATACCATGTCTGCTGGCCAACCAGAGTAGTCGCTATGAAGACTTCTTGGTGGAGCTATCCTGTGCAGCGCGAACGAACCGTAAATATTTGGTTATCAATTTAACGGAAAAGGAGAATTGCGCTGACAATGCAGCATTCGATCCGCGACCATGCGCCACAAATGGACTCAACATTTACAACACGAATGTGGTGTTCGATCGCGAGGGGCGTGTCATATCACGCTATCGCAAGGTGAATATCTATGTGGAGCGAAAAAATACCACTTATCAGCCAGAGTATGCCATATTCGATACGGATTTCGGTGTGCGATTTGCGCAATTCATCTGCTTCGATTTACTCTTCTACACGCCAGCCGAGGAGCTGGTGGTTAAGTATGGCATTAAGAATGTCATATTCACCGCGAGTTTCATCTCCGAGACGCCTTTTCTAACCGGTGAGCACTTGAGTTTCAGCTGACGTACTAGCTCAGTTACTAATTTGTCTTTTTTTTTGTATTCCCTTAGCCGTGCAGCTGCAACAATCCTGGGCTTGGGGCAACAATGTAACGGTACTTGCTGCTGGCTCTAGTTATCCGCTCTCTGGTGCTACAGGCTCTGGCATTTATGCGGGTAGTAGTGGCAGCTTGACAGCAACAATGGTCGGCAATGTGGGTGTGCGCCAACTCCTGGTAGCAAAAGTGCCCAAAAACGAGCAAACAAGTAGTCGCCTTGAAGCTGTGAATACGAGGCAATTCGCTGCTGCATCAACAGCGCCCCTAACCGGCTTAAGATTGCTGCGTGATCCACAACTGGACAATTTCCATTCACAGCTGCTTAACTTAACCGCCTCGTCTGTGATCGCATTGCAGCAGTGCGCCGAAGATCTCTGCTGTACGCTGACAGCAGAGACTACAGCTAGTCAAAGCTCTTATGGCAATGGCAGCGCGGCTGGTGCTTATCAATACCGCTTTGGCGTCTTCACTGGTCAACGCTCTTACGAGAAGGAGCAATACAGCACTGTAGCCATTTGTGGAATGTACGCCTGTACCGATGACACCGTTGCCAGTTGTGGTCTTTTATTCTCTGCAAATACAACAATACAGCCAGCGTTCGCTTTCAAGCGCCTAAATATTGCGGGTAGCTTTAAGAAGGCCGAACGCTTGCTGTTAATGCCGAGCACTTTGAACTTGAACTTTTACTCGCTACAACCAGCGCAGGTAGCGTGGGAGGTTACTGATAAAAGGTGAGCTCTCCGCTGTCGAATTTAAGTGTCATGCTTTTTACATTTGTGCTTTTACTTTGAATTTTCAGCAAATCCTACGAGACTTCAATTGATTTAAAAGCTTCCGCAGACAATCTGTTAACTTTTGGCATCTATGCAAACTACTATGACAGCTCGGTGGCATCGGGATTGACTGGCTCCATGTTGGTCCTGTTATCATGCTTACTGCTTTGGACTGGCACCTTTGCAATTGATTTTTTACATATAAGATTGACTGACTGCTGATTTTTCGTAGAATTAATTTAGCGGAATTAATGTATGTCGGCGCATTTAATTGCAAATAAATTTCTGATATGGTTTGGAGTAAATATGTATCTACATAGGAACTTTTCGAAAACCAAATGATGTGAATTAAAAAAAAAATTAATTAAAAATAATTAAAATTAAAATAAGCCCAAAAATTTTGAAAATATCGAAATTTTTCTTTAAAAAAAAAATTGCCAATTCGTTAGGCGATTCAGTTACATACATACGTAGGTCAACTTAGATATTAAACATTAAATTTCATTTCATTTTGTCCATTTTTTCGAAACCAGCACACGACTTAACCACTTCGGTAATAGATCATGACCATTTCAGGATTATTTCGTGACTAGTTTGTCCTGAAATGGTTCTGAAAAAGTCGTTACCTTGTTCCGAGAAGATGTCGAAAAGTCTTGAAACGGTCCCGAAAAATGATCCCGACCTGGTACCAAAATGGTGCTAAAATAGTCACCAACTAGTTCCGAAATGTTCCTGAACTAGTCTCGAGATGGTTAAGAACAAGTCCCAAAATGGTCAATTAGTTCCTAAATGATCCCGCACTAGTCCCGAAATGGTTCTAAAATAGCCCTAAACAGGTCTCGAGACGCTAGCTGTTTACACTTCAAAACTGTTAATGAAACTGCTTACTACTTAATGGGGCATGGTCGTTTTCCTGGATATACTGTTACCGTAGTCGCATGCCCGTTCGCGCACTATGTGCAACGTGGGCAACCCGTGTGCGAGATGCGGTAACGTAACCAACTCTCTTCAGTGAAGACCCTCCGACGTATTCGGTTTAAGGGGCAACCGAAGAGAGCAGCGTTTGTTCACTAGTACTACATGGGGCTACATGTGGGCTCGCTATGGAGTGGTTACTGGTGGACTACGAGCGCGGCCCCCGTTACGTTAAAAAAAAAAACTTTCTAGGCGGAATTTTTGGTCCAACAGTCGGAAAATTCAGCCTCTACGACCAACTTCCGATAACGGAATGAGGCTGATTAACTTCGTCGGGGCCCGAAACATGGTAGTCTGCAGCATCAGACTGGAGTCTGACCTGCCTTTTGGTAGTGTTAACGAAAACCATGTAGATAATGATGACCCATTTGCCCCAATCGATGACGACGGAAGCGATATTCGGTTACATAATAATGACTGCGCAGCTAAAAGAAACTGCCAAAGCCGATGGCTGGTGAAAGCCATGCAACAACTTTAATGCATATCAAAATGAAAGTGTGTTCAACCAATCCACTTGAAAACGCGATCTTTCTGCATCCGGAAACTACCGTGGATTTTAAATATCGAGCGTTTTGGTTTAAAGCCTACAGTCAACGAACTGATTTTATTGGGTTATTCATGGGCGATACAGATCTTTGACAGCAATTATTTGTGATATGTTAATGTTTTTTTTCTTCAGACAATTGGTACTAAAGGCTTTGGCTTTGGATGGACTGCGGATCCCACTGGCAATATAGCCAAGCATATTTGGCCTGAGTTAGATAAACGCAGACCACGCCATCTCCTCCGCTCGGAGCGTCCACTGCTCCGACATGTGATTGGAATCCTCAGCGGTCACTGCCTGATAGGAACCCATGCCTATAGAATGGTTTTGCAGCAAAACTACTGTCGTAGCTGCCGTGATGTGGACGAAATCGAAAGCGTAGAAAATTTCCTATGCCAATGTGCAGCATTGTCGAGAGCTCGTCGACGCTCGCTCCACAACTATTTTTAATGTTTGGCTGAACTGCATTCAGATAGTATCAAAGAACGTAGATAACAAGAATGGACAACTCGTTATAAATGTGGCGAAAGCGCGCAACAGGGTCGTGCATTCTCTTTTCATCCAATCAAAAAACTAGGGAAAAAGAGAAGGCACGCCGCTGTTGCGCGCTTTCGCTACAATTATAACGAGTTGTCCCTCCTTGTAATCTACGTTCTTTGATAGTATCTATGGCTTTGTACGACTTATGAGAGCGACAAAGTGGTTTCACTTCTAAGGTAACATTACAGTAAGTTACAGTGCTGAATGAGGACGCCCAGGATAAACTAACCTAACCCATGAGTCAAGGATCAGGAATTTAGTGCAGAAGTTCGAATAAATTGGGTCGGTGTAAAACGTGCGTCTTCGTACAGGACATGTTACGGTGAACGTTAACTAACTTTTTGTAACCTCGATTAGATGACATTGACTTCGACAACATGTGGTTCCAACAGAATGGTTTCACTCGCCATAAAGTGCATGAAACAATGGCCCAATTGCGTACGAGGTGGCCAGGACGCATTATCGCACGAACTAAAGAGGTAAGGTAGCCGCCAAGATCTGGCGATTTGACACCATTGGGCTTCTTTCTCTGGAGCTACATGAAAAGTATGGTCNGAATAAAAATTTATTCATCATTCGAAAATGTTTGAATAAAGAATAAAAATTTATTCATTATTCTAAAGTGCTTGAATAAAGAATAAAAATTTATTCGTCATTCAAAATTTTTGAAATGATGAATGAAAATTTATTCTTATTTTTTTTTTATTCAATTATTCATTTTCTTGATTTCGCCCATCCCTGGTCTATACCACTAAACTCAAGATGTTTCCAGAGCTGAAGAACGAAATCTACGGGTGATAAATGATATACAGCCCTAACTGTGACAAAAAGTCATGGAAACTTTTGATATGCGCATCCGTGTTGACAGAAGAGTTGCGGGTGGAATTCAACGCCATAGAAAAAATTATTTCGACCAATTGTGTTTCTTTCATCCTGTATATTCGCTAAGAAGAATCAGGAAGAGAAAGCAGTCCCATGGTGGAACGTTGAACCTATAAAGCTTCGTAAAAGGTCCAGTAGACTTCTGAATAGGGCGTTTAAGCCCCAAAAGAATAGGACTGGTACTAATATCATATCTGCAGTGATATTGATAACATGAACGACTTTTTCAGGTTATGTAAGGTACATATTGCAAAAAGACCTAACAGACCGGCTTATCTATCTCAGAAAATCGAATAGACACACATCACATTCAACGTGGTACCCGCTGGCGGAAGCAGGGGAAGAAGAAGACCTCCTCTGCAATGGGAAGTCTAGGTAGAGCAGTACTCGACTTCACTTGGCTGGCACTGTAATGAAACAACTTGCGTGCTTTATTGAATTCAGACGAAATCATTTAGGCAACTACCGGGTCTATTATGATAAAAAGAAAGTTACCGCCAGAAAAGTATGAATTTGGGCAAAGAAGTGCTTTTCGTAAAGAAGTGCTTAAATTTTTAATAAGAACATGCAAAAAGGGGTTTTTTGGTATAAGGAATTCATTTCTGCATTCGTCGTTTTCTTAAAACTACCACGAGAGGGCGCTACAGTGAAAATTTTCACATTTTCTTCGACACTTGTTTTCGCTATTTCCAAATTGATTTTAGACCCATGGCTTCTTTGGCTAATTTGCTTAGAATTACACGTACATAGAATCGCCCTATGATAAATGCGCATAGTCAAAAAAAAAATTGACCCGCCCTAACCCACTACAAAAATTGTGTTTGCATGCATTCCAAGTAAACCCATTTAATCCAAAAATAATTAAATGGCACTCTGTACACCACAACACTTGTAGAGCATTCACCAAGTCCAAAACTTTTCTTCGGGATACGCATCATTGCGCCTAATTGCTGATCGTCGGACTTGAAGTTGGTTCACCACAAGGTTTTTCTTGTTATTGTAACTTTAATTTTTTTCCGTTGCAATTACATGTCAAGGTTATTGCCAATGTTGCCTAAGAGTTTTGGAGATTTCGAAATTAACATCGAAGCAATGTGTAGGTCAAAGTTAACGTTCAACAAATCAAATACGCATGACTAAATTCGAACGGAAAGCTATGAAAAGAAGATAACCATTTAATCGCATAGTATAAATATAAGTCAACTAAATTTTTTTGAAAATGTTTAGTGCAAATCGGTGTGTAAACACGTATACGTTAAATGCGCTGGCGTTACAAACTAACAACTAAAAAATTAACGTAATCCACTAAAAAACATGGCAATGGCATTCTTCAAATACGAATATTTCAAACTCAACTCTACAAATTTTCCTTACGCGCATCTAGCGGACAAGCGCACCCAACATTGGCTGCTGGTCGAGTCTTACGGCGATGTAGTGGCGCTTGTGACATTGTATCTGTTGCTGGTGCGCTATCTGCCAAAATGGATGCAAAGGTGTTGCATTCAAACTCTTTGCAAAATACTCTTATGTAAAATTTGTGTGAATACCAAAACTGTCGCACTTTTATAACTTTTACAGACGTAAACCCTTTCAAATGAAACCTTTGATGTTGCTCTATAATTTTTTGATGGCTTTACTGAATGCGCACATCTGCAAGGAGCTTCTATTCAATGGCATACGCTCGAAGTATAATTTCTGGTGTCAGCCAAGTCGTGAGCTGTACACGAAAGAAGAATTGCGGGTAAATAAATATGTACTTAGTTACTTTTGTGTGTTGTGATTTACTTAGTTGCTTGTTTTGGTCGCTTTGCTTTAAATAGATTGCTGCTGCTGTTTGGTGGTTTTACTTCTCTAAATTGCTGGAATTTGCCGATACGATTTTCTTCATTTTACGTAAAAAGCGGGAGCAGTTAACCTTTCTACACGTCTATCATCATGGCACTATGTTTCCATTGTGGTGGATCGCTATAAAGTGGGTGCCCACCGGATCGAGTAAGTATTACATATCGGATGGCCCCGCGCTACTTTATCACAACTGGATGACACCGGCCAATCTATCCTATCTTGAATGGCGTGCGAAAGACTACCTTAACTCGATGACCTTTCCTAAGTTTGTGCTAACTAAGCCCTATTTTTTGTAGGCGCGTCTTAGGAATAGGCGAATTAGCATAATTTATCTGACAAAACTGAGCTAGGATAGTTTGTCCGACATCGCCTTCGAAAAGCATAGATTGACCGCTATCGACCAGTTGAGTTGGCCATCTATGTATGTTTAAGTTAAAACATTAATCAGGTTCAGTTTAGTGATCTACTGATAAATTTACAAACTTGTCGAATGAAAGCGAATACTCTCGATGGTTAGTTAAGATGTTCGGTGTAACAGATCAGATGACACTATGGCACAGTAGTTCTTTTGTGTCTCTATAACTCTAAGAGCCCAAAATACTGT